ATGGCCTTTAAAAATTTAAATGTACAGCGATTTAAACAAATACAAAAGCCATTTTTATTGCCTAATATTCCAAGTGCCATTAACGATTTTGTGAGTGGGAAGGGGTTTCAATTTAACTTATTAGTTTGATAGCTCTTAGAAATATCAAAGTGACTTCTTTTCAATCTCCGTGATCAATTCTGAACAAGACAGAAAAAATGTTTTTTTTTTTTTATTTAATAATCTAATTCTATTAGGTTGAGTCATAACTGATTTTTTTTTTGGGGGGGGGACCAAATCGTAATGACTTATCTATTATCCTAATTACTAATGATACGGTGCAGTTAAATGGAGTACACTAACATATAATAGATAGATAAGGTTGAGTCATAAGTAATTTCTATTTTGGGGAATCAATTGTAATGACGAATGTATCATCCTAGCTACTAATCATACGTGTCAGTTAAGATTACATTTGGATTACATATATTATAGCACAGCAGTAACAGCGTACACAGTGGATTTTTTAGGTTAATTTACCGCAAGCAAGACGATAATGCCACAAAGACGCAAGGGGATAAGAAAGATTCGACTGTTACTGGGATTATCGAGTCAATGCAAATAACCATTTCCTTGTCTGCATAGTAAGTACTTCGCCAGAGCTATATACAGTTTTAAATTCAGAGTTTTCCTTTTCCTAAACCGGTTGCCAACCAAGGCTAAAGAACCCAGTCTGTCCTTCTATTTGCCCATAGCTGGGTGGGGGCAGAAGAGATGGATTCATACCTTTTCCGAAGGGTATCAGCACGTAAGTGAATGTAATAGATTCGACTATAATTCGAACTCGGCTCTCCGATTCTTCAACCCGAGCCGCAATCCATTACTCTGCCGCTGCTGGGAGTGAAAGAGAATGGAAATATCTTAGAAGGAACCAGAAACTCAATCCTAAACAGGGAACAAGGGATAAACTTCTACTTCTGCTCAAAAGACGCAGGAAGAGTGTGAACCGAACGGTAGGCAAACCCATTAGTGAGGTTACTACATAACCTCACTCATGGAAGCATTTAACATGTATATACGTCGCTTAACGCTATGAATGTTCAAACTAAGAAGATAACACTATGGAGACATCTAGAAAGAATATGTAGCGTTTATAGTCACGAGGTCATAACTGATTGACAAGTAGAAAATTGTTTGTAAAATTTTGTTTTGAAGAAACATCATTGGAATATGAACGTAGTCCGAGGTGTTAATCGGACTCTGCTGGTGAAAACTCTAAAGTTTTTAGTGAAAAATTAACAAACTACCCAGAAATCAGAAAAAAGATATTAAGCACACCACATTCTACCATTTGCCAACACACAGAAAAGATAGGGAGATTTAGCAAGCTGGGTGTTATGGTTCAACAAGCACTTAGCGAAAAGGACAAAACTAATCATTTAAACATAGCGTCAAGTATCCTTTCATAACTGATAAATAACGCGTTCCTTAAATATATCATAATACGTGACGAAAAATGTGTTACATGCGACAATGTTCAATGCAAAAGGCAGTGGATTGACAAGGATACACCACTACACACTCTAAAAGTTGAGCCCCATGAAAGAAAGAAAATATTAAGCATGTGATTGAATCGTTCAGATATTATTCATTGAAATGCTAAATGCACATTTTTTTTCGTCCAACAGTTTCAATTTGTCTATAAAAGTTTGGCCGAAATGCACTCTGAACTTGTCAATTTGAAAACATGTTGTTTTCTCCATGTCAACGCAAGACCGTATACAGCAAGAATAAGAAAGAAAAAACAATTATGTTCTGCTTTGCCCGCCATATTCACCCAACCTGCCACCAACTAATTTTTACCATTTAAGATTAGTGCAAAACGCTTTGTTGAGGAACACTTTCTCTAATGAAAACCAGATTCAAGAGTCCGTCGAACATTTTTTTTCACACGAAAACCTTTTTTTTTTCTTTTTTTTTTTTAAGCACTACGCCCCGAGCAAGGCGTGAAGCCACTAGGATGCAGGGGGTTGCAGAAGATTTGGAGCAAGAGCAGATAGGAATGATAGAAGAAAGGATGAGGAGAGGGATAGTAGATAGATCAAGGTAACTGGAGATGTCGATTTACATTACATTTGAATAGTTGGAGATTATAGCTCCCAGGGAAACAGTAACAGGGAAGGGAGTTCCACAGGCGAGAGGTGCGAGGTATGAAGCTATTGGAGTAGAAGAGACGGCTACATTTAAGTTTCTACAGTGTAAGGGTGAGAGCGAGATGCCAGCCTCGTAGGGCGCTTGAATTCATGGAGTCTGGGAACCAGTGAAAGCAGCTCATCAGAGCAATTACCATGAAAGTATTTGTAGAAAAGACAGAGAGAGGCGACGGCGCGTCTGTGAGAGAGTGACTGTAGACGAGACGCCAGATCAGGGTCAATTATATTACATATCCGTCTCTGGATCTTGTAAAGAACTCCGAGGTAAACAGAAGGTGCACCAGACCATATATGGCAGCAATAGTCCATCGGAAATTTACTCAAAATGTATAGAAGAGCTGCCGGATGTTTGGCAATAAGTCATTGAAAATAATTGTTAATATATAAATGAATAAAATGTAATTGTTTTTTTTTGTTTTTTTTTTCCAAGAATGCAATTGATAAACAGAAAAGTAAATTATTTATGACTCAACCTATTTTAAAATGAAAAATTCCCATAATTCCCAGAAATTTAATATTAAAAACTTGATTAATTGCCTACATAGTTGATTGCAATTTGCGTTTTTTTTTTGTTTGTTTTTTGGGGAGGGGTGCGGTTTTTAACTCTCTGAACCAAATGATTAAAATCAATTTTCGATTTTTAAGTAACGTAGTAAAAATTTTTGAGATGGGTTTTGATCGTTTATATAGCAGTTTGTTATGGTCTGAGAAGGTAATTATAGCTATTTTTTTCGTCCAATTTTCAAAAACCGAAAAGAATAAATAAAAATATATAAAATAAAAATAAGAAAAGCAAGTAAAATAAATTAATCCAAATAAATAAACAAATTAATAAACCACTTCCGCAGTTGGCATGCAGTGTTGATTCTTTTGCGCACATTATCTGTCTCTATAAATGCTTTATCACCGATATAGAACTCTTCCTCTCTCTCTTTATCTCTTTCTTTTTATATATATATATATATATATATATATATATATATATATAAAGAAAGAAAGAACAGTAAGATATATAATCCGGTGTTCTTATAGATATTTTTATTTTTACAAAATAGTGCTCAATGTAAATTTACAGAGCATAATATTATAAATTAATTGATTTAAAATGTTTTTTCCGCTACACAGTTCTAACCATGTTTCAAAAATAGAAGCTAAAAGCCCCGAATTTAATTTTGCAATTAAAATTAAAAGCATTAGTTCCATTTCATCCTCAAGCGAATTTTTAAAATTAAATTCGGGGCTTTTAGCTTCTATTTTTGAAACATGGTTAGAAGTGTGTAGCGGAAAAACATATTTTAAATCAATTAATTAATATATATATATATATATATATATATATATATATATATATATATATATAGATATGCATGCATGTCCGAGTCATTAGGACGTTCCCCCCTGGTTCGAATCTTATCATGGTCGATTTGTCTGGAAGGTGACTGGGGAGGCAATCCCAGCACCCGGCACCTTTGAAAAGTGTCTGAAAACCATACCACGGGTTGACCAAAGCCTTGTCAGTGAAATTAGATTGACGTCACGGCCGGGAAGCAGCTAATAGTTGTGCCTGCACAATGTCACAAGTCACCGTGACTGAGATTTTAAGCACACTGGTCTACTTCAAACTGTTGAATACACCAAATTATGCGCTCTCTCCCAGAAACTGTAACTAAGGTCTGCTCAGCATAGTTGCAATATAAACCACAAGGCGTCCTGTGTAAGATGATAAACTACACCCAACAGCAAGGCCTCTGATCAGGAGGTTTTGAGGAGTGAGAAACCACCTCTTAAACGCTGGTATTCCCAGGTCCTCCCTGGCCCGAGGTGGTAGTAGCACCTATTAGGGTCCCAGCTATGGGAAAATAGTTAACCCCAAACTGGGATCAAAACGTGTAAAAATAAGTTTTAATACCAGCAATAAATTTTTGAAGAAAAAATTATTACCAACTATACATTATTACCATTGAAAAAAAATATTACCAGCAATAAAAATCTTGTCGGCATTAAATAACACATTGAGGTTGATATGCCGTAAAATAAAACAAAACAAAACAAACTAAACTACAAGTACGCTCTGTAGGTGTTGAACAAATTCACAAGTGTCCGAGCAGGCGTCTACGACAGGGATTGGCCTAGCAGACGGATCTCTTTTTAAAACGAGAGTAGCTGAGCATTATATATATATATATATATATATATATATATATATATGTGTGTGTGTGTGTGTGATATATATATGTGTGTGATGTATGTATGTGTGTGTGTGTGTGTGATGTATGTGTATGTAAAGTATGTGTGTATATGTATATGTACTAATAAAAGCTAGAATTTGCAATCAATCTTGAATGAAATTTCCTTACATCGCCATTGAGTAATTACGAATCTAAAAAGACGTTTCCTTTCGTTTGACTTCGCCTCCCAATCAAACAAAATCCATGTCCATTTACGACAAAACTTCCCACCTTCTGACACTGGAAAAGCTTTCTGCCATGATCACTTAGTTGAGATCCAAGCCGTGCGGCCTTACTTCTAAAGCAAGCCAATTGGTAAATAAGAACAACGCCAATCACAAACGATTTCGAAGAAGCAATGAATAAAAGCAAAAACAAGAAAAGAAGAAATATTTTTGTTAGTTTATATATATATATATATATTTTTTTTTTTTAATTTATTCATTTAAAAGCTTGTAGAGACTTTTTGTTTTGGTATAAAATGTTCCATCGTTCCCGCCAATATTTCTCCGTCTTGTATTTATTTATTCTATTTCTTCTTTTCTACCACTAATCTCCTCTCTCCAACTCATCTATTGAGTTTCTATTATCTATTTTAAAACGTCTCTCTCTCTCTCTATCTATCTATCTATCTATCTATCTATGTATGTATCTGATTCTGTCCGTATCTATCTATCTATCTATGTATGTATCTGATTCTGTCCGTATCTATCTATCTATGTATGTATCTGATTCTGTCCGTATCTATCTATCTATACATCTATCTATGTATCTGATTCTGTCCGTATCTATCTATCTATACATCTATCTATGTATCTGATTCTGTCCGTATCTATCTATCTATACATCTATCTATGTATCTGATTCTGTCCGTATCTATCTATCTATACATCTATCTATGTATCTGATTCTGTCCGTATCTATCTATCTATACATCTATCTAGGTATGTATGTCTCTGTCCATACTATCTATCTATCTATCTATCTATCTATCTATCTATCTATCTATCTCAGTCTGTCTATATCTATCTATCTATCTATCTATTCATTCATGCTGAAATCAACGGTTAAGCCTATATCTAACTGGCTCAGTACTCTCTCTTTGGGACCCACTTGGAATACTGAGTAGCGTAATATATTTTGGTTTTAAATAATCCCAAAAATCGTAGAAAAGATGTAAATAAAAATTAACAAATCAATCATATCTATCTATCTATCTATCTATCTATCTATCTATCTATCTATCTATCTATCCATTCGTGCTGAAAACAACGGTTCTTGTTCGATCATGACGTTAAGCCTATGTCGAACCGGCATATATATATATATATATATATATATATATATATATATATATATATGCGCATCCCATTATTTTTGTGCATCCCTATCTTCTTATTCCTTTCAACATTTTACCTAATAAATAACATCGGTTAATTAATGAGTTTGTTTTACCCCCTGCAGCCTGAATCAATTTTGTCAAAGAATAATCCATATCAACAAGAGCATCATCGCAGTGTTCCTGATCGCACATACACTTTTATTAAAGTAACAGCACATATATGGAGCTTGAGTAATTTTCGTCCCTAGTTACGTAAACGCGTGGGAGTTCTACTTTAAACTCGGCGTTGTTCTACATTCAGTTCTAGTGGGCGTTTCGATAAATACCAACTATTAACAAAGTAAAATCGAGCCACAATGAGTGGTCTAAATCTGTGACGAACTAAACTCACCTTATTAAATATCGAATCATCTACCAGGGAACAATGTTTATTCTTCTATGGGCCGTGTTCCTTCAAGACGTGGGAGATCATAACTTCCCAAAACAACCTATCCTTAGCTCTTAGTAAGGTTTGTTTGTTTCACCATTACTTCCTCTCCCTGTTCTGCCATCCATTTATACAAGGTTGTTAGGTAGGTTAATTGCTATTTCCCTATGTCCATCTTGTCTTGTCAGTGTCAAATTCTCTAAGCCCTCTTTCCTCATTATGCGCCCTGGAAATTTCAATTGTCTCTTTCTGATTCTAAGCATAAATGTCCGTTTTGGATCTGTCTATATTTCTGAGATGAGGTATTATGTACATTATTTACATTATTCGAACTATTGTCCTCATCTTTGTCGCCATATTTATCACAACGTTTCAGCCGTTGTACTAATGTCTTCAGCAACCATTTTTACCAGTGCTCATATTGCAATTTTTTTTTTTTTTGCTGTTATCAATTCATGTTTTTACCAGAACAAATATTGCAACTTTTTGTTGTTATCATTGCTTTTCTCTGGCACTCCTTATTACTGGTTCCCATATTGTATTTATTTCTATGCTTGGTCGGCTCAGGAGATTTTTGTGACCTAGCATATGTGCTGATTCCTTAAGTTTACGAATTTTCCAATGGTGTTCCCTGTCTATGATCTCAACATGATCCCACAGAGGGCGGTTAATGGTTGCCGAAGACATTAGGTTTATAATACCCAGAAATTCATACCCAGATGTCCTCAAGGACACATGGCACAGTGGACAAAGGTGTTGGTTAGATCCAGTGGCAGGACCCAAAGAGTGTGAGTTCAATACCCGGTTAAGGCAGTGGAGAACTTTCAGAGGGAAAATTAACAGGAGATAACCGATAACTGACATCCATCAAACATGGCACATGGAACTAGAACAGTCTACCCCAGTGATCGAAATAAAGGGTTCAGTTCGACATTCCAACCACCTGAAGAAGGCCGGAGCGTACAACGGCCGAAGCGTTGTGATAAATATGGCGACAAAGATGAGGACAATAGTCCGACTAATGTAAATAATGTCCTTTTTATTTTCATTTTCTACTAAATTTTGTCATTGGTCACATTCTCAGCATCTTCCTGTAAAACCACATTACTGTTGTCTCAAGCGTCTTCTTCACGTGTGTGGACACTGTCCAGCATTCACTGCCATATAGGAGAAATGATATTACATAACAGTTTCTACTGTTCCAGTGCATCTTCAAATTTCGGGTTCACCTTTTCCGTTCTCTCTCAAATATTTCCAGATATTTAAAGTAAGAAAAGATTCTGTATTATTAACGAGTATGCTGCGGATAGTTTGGTAAATCTCCATGTGTATTTAAATGAGACCTGATTGAACTATGGTCAGAGAGATGTAACGTGAGTCTTCTTGTTAAACATGTTGTAGTTTATCCAGTAAAATTATTTACAAAATTGATCAGGAGCACACCTCCTTAATGGACATTTAAATTCGTACTTGCTTGATTTTGGTATCAACAGTTCAAAGTTAGCATCTTGGAATATTCCTCTTGCTGACAACTATATATTCTGTTCTTTTACAATTGATGTTTATATATTTCTTCCCATTTGATGTTTTTGACAAACCAATTTGTAGATCATTGATGCTAGTTTGATTCACATTGGAGACATTTTAAATGTAACAGGCTCTCATCGTTTTCTGAAAGGTAATTCCTCAGAACCACGTTTGTCTTTCGTTCTGGTAAGAGAGGTAATGATGGTATATATGTCATCAAACAACTCCGGAACATTGCATACCTCTCTAATAGGAAATTGTATGCCTGCTATGTCGACCACACAGCAACATATGACCACATCAACAGAGACTTACCGTTCTAATCCATTAGAAACCGCCTTCCAGTCTCCGAATCCAGTGAATGCATCGATCTAATGGATCTAATCTAACCTTAATCAGTCCACATTTTTACTTGTCTGGCGAGGACCCCACTAATGGGAACATTTCAAAACTCATCACGCAAGGAAAACATGAGAGCTACAGCCCATTTAATCTTTTCCTGGACTATATGCCCTGCTCATTTACAAACACAGATGTGAAGAGATGGTCACTGACCATTTAAACATCCAATGCCATATCCCAACAAATAAAAGTCAGCAATGCTGCTTTCCCTCCCTAGGCCAATGTACTGATAATGAGGTGGGCTACGCTAACGACATAGATATTTATAGTAGGGTAAGAATATTCTTGCGCAGAAAATCACCATCTTGTACCAAGTGTTCACCATCTTCTACTCAAGATAAAGCTTTCCAAAAACAGAAACTATGATCTGGAATTGGAATGAAAGCAGTGATGGCGCCTACTCTGAATCCATCATAAATATTCAGGTTGTGGAAATGTTTAATACCAAACATTTCAAATACTTTAGTGTATGGATCAGTTATAACAAATTTAGCATGAGAGATAAAGAAATTAATTTTATTTGGTCTATGCGGGATTTTGTTGATAATGTGTGTGCTTGTGCGCATGTGTAAAGGGAATCCGGATACACATTTTCCCATAACCGATAAGCACTCGTAAAACACACTTTATTATATCACCAACATTCATAAAATCCATACTTAAATAACCTAAGGCCAGATTACCCACAAACGCAACCGGTATAACCTTTTTTTTTTTTTTTTCACTCCCAAACAAATCATCCCCTAATCAACATACATATACTACTGGACAGAAATAAAATGCCCATGAGACTTACAAACGCGCACACGCATACACATTATCAAGAAAATCCCACATAGATCTAGTGGACTTATGATACACAAACACACAACAATTATATACAAGAACGCTATCAAACAAGACAAATACATTTGACGTCGACTCAGCCAATAAAAAACAAGCAACACAAAACTATAAAATTCCAGACCTTCCTCTACCATATTTCACTTCTTATGAAGCTTAAATAAAAAGGAAACATGTTAAATTTACAAAAGCTTCTTACATAGTCATCCACGTACAAGCCTGTTTCACTGTAGCACAGCTCATCAGTGTGGCAAGACATCCGATTGGTTCAAGCCGATTTGGCATCAGATCCTATACCTATATATCCTATTATATATATATATATGGGTATATGGGTACTAGTGAACAGCCATTTTATATATATATATATATATATATATATATATATATATATATATATATATATATATATAGAGAGAGAGAGAGAGAGAGAGTACTGTGTGCAATAACTATTGTATTTTGATTTTGACAACTTTTTCTTATAAACTGATATTCATACAGACATAAGTATATATATATATATATATATATATATATATATATATATATATATATATATATGCACATTTCATTGAAAACGACAGACAAGGTGCTTTTATTTAGTTTTTTTTTTTATATAATTTCTCATGCGATCTAATAATTTTTTTTATTATTATATTAAAACTGTCCGAATATTCTTTTTATCCGCGCGCTTTCGGCTATACATTTAGCCATTTTCAAGGATTATATTTTAACTGTGAAAATTAGAAATAATTTGTTGTATGTATGTTTTATAAAATGTTTTCATTATTTTTTTGTTTCATTCGGTCAATTTTATATAATTTATTATCCGAAAAGAAAAAAAATTATTAGATCGCATGAGAAATTGTATAAAAAACTAAATAAAAGCACCTTTTCTGTCGTATTCAATGAAATGTGCATGAAAGAAGAATTGCTGCCTAAATACACAAATTTTAAATATATATATATATATATATATATATATATATATATATATAATTAAAATAGTGAAGTTTTAGATAGCCTTTACACATGTAAAGGAACTAAACTTTAAATTAAAATTAAAAGTCAAAAATACTTTTCATACACTCAATGTATGAATTTGATTTTTTTACACTTCCGTATTCTCCCTCGACTCTCTCACTCTTTCTTTTCTTTCCTCTCAGCACGACTCACTATTATTATTACTGTCTATCTATTTATCTCTCTATCTATCTTACTTTATTTATATTGCTTTCTCTTTTTATCTAAGTTTGTTCATATCTATCAATCATTTTCCTGATTTCACTTTAGTTCCCTCTTTTATAGATTTTTTTCCCTTTCTTTAACAACTTTCTTCCTTTCTAGATACATTAGCCTTTGTTTGCGCTTAATTCTTTTTTTTTTTTTTTTTTCATTAAACTCTTCCTACGTTTTTTTTTTCTCCAACTTTCTTCTCCTTCTTAAGCTATATCTTTCTTTCTCTCGTACTACTCACCTTTTCTTTATTTTTCTTTTTACTTTTTACTTCATTTTCCTTTTTATTTCTCCTCTCTTCTTACTTTAGCAAGGACCTTCTTTCTTTTTACTTTTTTCTTTCTTTTTACTTTTTTCTTTCTTTTTACTTTTTTCTTTCTTTTTACTTTTTTCTTTCTTTTTACTTTTTTCTTTCTTTTTACTTTTTTCTTTCTTTTTACTTTTTTCTTTCTTTTTACTTTTTTCTTTCTTTTTACTTTTTTCTTCCTTCCTCTCTTTCTCACACTCTTTTCGCTACACTTTCATTTTCTCTTACTTTTTATGTTTTATTTTTCTTTCTTTTCCTCTTTCTCTCTCTCTCTCTCTCCCTCTCTCTCTCTCTCTTTATCTCTCCCCTTTTAAGTGAAATCACAATGTTAGTCTCAGTAACTTTCCATTCGTCTAATTGTTCATTCAGACCCCAGCCTCTTTACCAATGAGCGAACCGACACATCCAATTCTATTAATGGTAACCCTGTCTCCAAACGCACAATCTTTGATAAGATCCAGTCAATATCAATTTGAAACAGAAGACATTATAAAACGCAGCCCTGTTGGACACTTTACCAGTAACTGCCAAACCACATATATATATATATATATATATATATATCACGCCATTTTTTTCTTTGTTTTTGCTCATTATTATTTTGCATTTACAACGAAAATTTGTTTATTTCTTATTTATATCTCCCGCCTGCATTTCTAATTTTATTGCATTTCTTGTTGCAATTCATTTTACTCATTTATAGAAGCACCCGTATTTTGAAAAAAAAAAAGTGTGTGCGTATTTTTGTCTTCATGTACGCTGTCTTTTCGGCCGTGTGGGGTTGGCCTGTGGATTGGGACATGGAGAAATGGAAATTGGCAGACTGAGTTCGAATGCGTATTGAAGTTCACTCGGGGGCGGGGGAAGGCATGAATTCACTTCTCCCCGACGATCAGCTCAGTGGTTACACCCCTACTACTTATCGCGGTTATTTTAACTGATTTTTTCTTCTTTTTACTACTGCTCAATTATTTTAACTGCTTTAATTTACAAACGGATTAAATTGATGGTTCGTGAATTTGGTGACGTAGTAATTTTGAGTTCAGTCCCTGGGTCAGGCAGTGTGTATTTGAACTCAGTGGAAATGGAGCGAACAGTACTAAAACTAAAACTAAAACAAGATATCCCTTGACATGGGCAGTGGAACAAAAACAGTCTAGCCCATTAATTAAATAAAGGGTTCAGTTCTGAATTCTCTATTGCTTACCCGGATAGATATACACCTGATGAAGGCCGGAATGTAAAACGGTCAAAACGTTGTGATAGCGACAACAAAGATGGGGACTATAGTTCGTATGGAAATAGGATAAATAATAATTCTTCATCCCAGAAATTCAGATAGAAAGTATTTTGATTTTATGACTAATAATTTATTATTTTAATATACTAGCAGGAGAGCCCGACGTTGCCCAGGGATGTAACAGTAAGAGATAGATCAAGTATCGACCATTATAAAGACTGAAAAATAAAATTGACAAAGATTATTGTTTAAGGTTGACGGACACGCATGTCTTAATTAGTTTTTTTTTTTTTTTTACCTAACCCTAACCCAAACTCAAACAAAAACATTGTTTTCAATCGTTATGAGTCTATTGATTGAATAGAATTTTATTATAAACAATTGTCTTGTAAATGGAATTTTTAAAGCACTCTGAATGTAAAAACAAAGAAAAAAGTGTGCAAGACTATAAGAAACACTATCTGCCAAAAAAAAGTGAAGTTTTGTTGAAATCGGTTGAAAAATGTAGGAAATCCGATCCCATATATAAACGAACACACACAAACAACCTGGGTTTTATAATAAGTACAACTTGATATGAGTTGTCCCCCTTTCATTCTGGTGACAGAATCGAGTTTTTATCGTGTTTTCAAATTGATTTTGTGCAAAAACAATTGTGTTTTTTCAATTTTTGGCACTGTCAGAACCACCACAAGGTAATTTTACGCAGTCCTGTGAAGTTTTGTTGAAATCAGTTGAAAAATGTAGGAAATCCGATCCAATATATAAACGTACAGACACACGCACACCCACACACACAATCTGCGTTTTATAATAATTTGATCCTGGCATCATCAGGAAACAATTATGTCGACCAGTAGTGTTGAGACGTTGGACACATACTGATAACCTCTACCCCAAGGCTTCCTCAAACCAAATCAAACCACGGGGAGTGGAAATTTTTGAAGGTGTTCTTTTTTGTGGAAAAAAATGTACACTTTGTATGGCTGCAAATATCATGTCGACTTGCCTTAGTATGAAAGTGAGGTTCAGAGAAACAAAGGAAACGAAAATGTACAAAGAAACAAAGAAACGTACGAAGAATTCAGACTTTTGTCTTTTGTAAAAGTTTACTAAGACATCAGTCACTCAAGGAAGAGGGTTACTAAATAAAGCGCGTTTTTTATGAATGTAAGAGGAGGAAATAGGAAGTGACAATTATACGGATATAAAATGATTGACCCTTGACTTGAAGAGTTTAAGTTTATAATGATCAAGAGAGCATCCACGCAGTAGTCTATTATATCATGGATATTATTATTACTGGCACGATGGTAGTCCTGGGTATGACGATAAACTACATCCGGCAGCAAGGCCTCTGATAAGGAGATTGGAAGTTTTGGGGAGCTGTTGTTCCCAGGTCCACCTTGACCCGGGGTTTTAGCACCCGTTAGGCTCCCAGCTATGAGCAAATAGTGAAGCTCCAAACAAAAACAAAACACTATGAAAGTATAAAAATACATTTTTATAGTAAAGATACCAGCAATATATTTTTATATAGAGTAACCAACAATATATTTTTAAAACAAAATGACCAGTCATACATTTTATAGTAGATTGACTAACAATACATTTTATTTGTAGTTGAAGGCATACAATTGCCTTCAAAGTATTTAGTGTTCGACATTAAATAACCCATGGAGGTTGATATGCCACTAAACAAAATCAACCATCCAAGCAACCGCCATGTTGGATAGCAATCTAGTGCAGCATATACTTAGCTAATGAGTTCGATCCTCTCACATACATATATGACTCAGCGAAACTAAGGAAATACCAAGGGCCATAACTCTTATTACGATACGAGATATATATTTGAGAGAATTTTCTGTATGGGAGCGAGGTGTCAGCTGTGGCGGTGCATTTAACAAGCTGTTCCTCCTCAAGTGTCGCTAGTGAGTTCAGTAAATGTCTTTCTACAACTTTCTACAATTTAGAAGGAACCAGAAACCCTATCCTAAACAGGAAACAAGGAATAAATATCTACTCATGTTCAAAAGACCGAGGAGTTATGTGAACCGGTCGATAGAATCAAAAAAGCCGTTTATTATTAGAATCAGAAAGTGACAATGGAAATTTCTAGAGCACATAATGAGGAAACAGGACTGGAGAATTTGATACTCACAGAGCATATTGAAAGGTACAGAGGAAAGCATCTAGTAACCTGTCTAACGAGCCTATGTAAATGGATGACACTGACTAGGAGAGATGACGAAAAAATAGAGGTCAGAGCTACAAAGGATATGAAGTTGTGTAGAGCCATGATCTCCCACGTTCTGACAGAGACGGCAACAAGAAAAAGGTTTAGCATAGTAAATAATTATATGAACGAAAGTACAATATGTGTCAGTGTGTGACAGAGAGAGATTTATTGAATAGCATTAAATTTTAATACAACTTAGAATCATTTTTTAATTATTTAAATATCGTCTGTAAGGTGTTAGTAAGATTGTCTAGCGCCTGTATCCTGATAAAATAAATTCCTTTTTTTTCAGAATAAAGTCAGAGATACTTGCTTTATCTAGGCTAAATAATGCAGAGCCAGTGCATGTTTGTGTGTGTGTGCGCGCGTGTGATATATGAAGAGAGAGAAAGGTAGGAAAACGAGCTATATGTATGTGTGCGTGTGCGTATGTGTGTGTGAGATAAAGAGAGAGAGAAAGATGTAAGCAGACCGTTTGAACATTAAAAGCCATCGAACATTTGGGCACTTGGACTGTTGAAGGAAATAAGTTTTGATAGCTAGATTCCGTGATTCGGAAATTTGAGAATAAATACACATTGAGATTTCGACCTACGTATTAATGCAAATGAAGTAATTCTCCCCACTTCTCTTTCCCTTCTCTCTCTCTTCACACACACACACACACACACACACACACACACACACGTACACGCGTGTGCCTCCATTAGAATACTTGTAAAAAGAGCCAATATATATTTGTGAGTACGAATATGTACATCCATTTATATGTGTATTTTTCTGTGCGCCTACGTCGTTACGGAATGTGACACAAGGTCATTTTAAAGTGGGTTTAACGGTAATACCGGGAGAAAATTGCTGAAGCCCCCTCGACACTTCCACTTCTGGGGACGCCTCAGGCGCCGGACAATAAACCCAGCCCCCATTCCTGCCTGGTGAGAGGTATGGTACATCCATTTATATGGAACTAAAAATATTTGTCCGTGAATATCACAGTCTTATAAAATTCATTTTTTATGCATCATTCATTCTACGTATATATGTGTATGTGTGGTGTGGCAATGCCCAAGAGCCACTCAAACTAGAGGTTTACTGAGTGGTATTGTTGTAAGGGAGGGGAAAAGAGGTCATAAGAAATGCAATATTATGATGTCGTGTAGGAGAGATATCGGTTGTCTTGAAAAGACCAAAATTGTAGTTGCCAGGGCAGCATCCTCTCGGAAGCTTGTTCCACAAAGTAACAGTTCTGGAGAAGAACTGTGGAACTTGTTCCTTTACAAAAGGAACAAGAAAAGGAATAGGAATAGTTTGCCACCATGAACGTGACATGGCGCCTCCGAGCTCTGAAGGTCTTATAAAGGTTGAACTAACGAATTTAAATCGTCAGAACATCTTCCATAATATAAAAAATATACACATAATAAAATACACACATAAACACACACACATACACACACATACATTCACACACTCATACACACACATACTCATTCACACACATACACACACGCATACCCACATACTTATACACACACATACACACACAAACACACATATACACACACTCATACATACACACTCATACACAATCATACTCATGCACACACATACGCACGCACACACAAGAAACACATCCACATACACACTCACACATACACACACTCATACATACACACTCATGCACACACAAAACACATACACACACAAAACACACACACATACACACACACTCATACATGCATACACTCACACATACACACACTCATACATACACAATCATACACGCACACTCATGCATACACATGCACGCAAAAACACACACATACACCCACAAACTCATACACACACATACACACTCATACATATACACACACATATGCCTATTAAAGTGGCTGAGTGGTTAGAACGT